CCCCAAAACCCCAAAACCCCAAAACCCCAAAACCCCATCATATATCATGAATATTGAAAGAGAGTTTTAGACTACAGGAATATGCATCTGGACCAGTTTGCTAGTCCAAGGGACTAGCTGCTGCTCAATCTCTGTTGCTCTTGTAGTAAATTTCTCAGACTCATTAACTCTTGAAGGCTTTGATCTGAGGATATGACCGTAAATCTTGAATGTAAACGCCTCGTGAATATCTCCCTTACCCTTGGTAAGTTCAAGAGCTCTTGTGAGAAGTCCCTCTGCAATCATTGTTCTTTCTTGAGCATGGTAGAATATCGCCAGTAAAGTCAAATGTCTTGCTAGGAAGCCAGTTTCATATTTTTCATGAAATTTCAGACCAGCAACATACCAAAAAGAGGTATGCTTCTTGTCCATTCTTGGACCCTGAAGTAGCATTTCTTCACAGATGTTGGTCAGGGTGATTCCAGAGAGAGGATGCTTGACAACATCAAAGAACTGAGCTTTACCAGAGTTATTATAAAACTCTTCAGGGCCATAGCTGTTGACATCGAGCAAGGATTGTAAAGTTTTAGCATCTTCCTCAGATCTCTGGTTGGTATTTTCAAATCCTTTGATAGATTCTTTGAGTAAAGTCAGGATCTGTTCACCCTCAAAGATTGCCTTCTCATCTAATTTATTGAAATCATGATTAGCCTCTCTCAGCGATTCCTGAAATTTATGAAATTTCATCACAGCTAGATTATTCTTGGCAACTGAACGATATTCTTGTGAAAGATTCTCGTCCTTTTGAAGTGCGTCAAAACCTTTATGAGCAGAGGTTGCATCATCCATCACAAACTTTGTTAATAAATGTTTTGTCTGCAAAGGAAATGATATATCAGGATTAAATAAGTCATTTCAGAACTCGAATAGATCACTAGCATCCTCTTTCTTAGTGTACAAATAAGAATAAGCTAATCTGTCATAAATTTTCAGCAAGAGTTTACTATTCCTATAAGAGTCGCTCCATCCATCCTTAATCCCACACCATTGGTGCTTTTGCAAAGGAAGTCCTAAATTTTAGTTTCATCAAGGAATTTACTAGTGATATTAAGCAAGTCTTTGTAGTATGTAGCAGCCAGGTTGTAGTCTCCCTTTTTGAAGAACTTGCTTGCCTTCTTGTATTCATCCATACTTGGAATAATTTGTTCATAATCTTGAGCAATCTAAGAGAAGGATGAGCAATCAAGAAATAAAAGGCAAGATCTTGCCTGTTTAAGGTAACTTATTTGATATACTACTTGCTTACTTGACTGTTGCAGAAGAACCTCTTTGAAGTAGCTACACTTCCCCAGGAGCGATGTCAGCGGCTGTAAATTTTCATTTCAATATTAAATAATAATGTAGGGGTTTTGGGGTTTTGGGGTTTTGGGGTTTTGGGG